TTTTTTTTTTTTTCCTCTACACCTAAGCTTGGTCTATGTTGTTTCTTGTTTATTTCCATTTTGTTTTCCTCTTTAAGCTACATCCCATGAAAATCACTTGCCATGCATCATTCCAGCATCTCTGTCTGGGTGCCCTCCTCTATTATACAGGCTAGTTATACAGAGCAAACTGGGGAAAGCTGGTCTAACAGCTTACCTCTCCATAGTCTATTTTTTGGCAGTTTTTTGAAGCTGTGCCAAGCTTTCACATCCACTGGGGATAAACACTTTTCAGATTATATGCAGAGAGTGATGAGCTGCCTTAGCATGTGGGAGAGCCCCATAGAATCAAACCCTGTGAAGGTCCCAAGAGAGAAGCAGGAGATGTCCCTAGCAGACATTGTCATAGCTGTTAGTACCCCTTCCCTTCTCACCAGAAAAGCAAGACCTTGTGAACTCCAAAGCTCATTCTTCAGTCTCCTTAAATTAATTAATTCCTTAAATTCCTACTGCCTCTTAGGATCACGCTTAGGGAGAACGATAGCCAGCTATTATTATGTTAAATTTTGCAAAGGTACCTACTTCCAGTAGCCCAAATTTGCTGGATGTTATGAGGAAAAGGGTGAGTAATGGTCTCCGTGTTGTGGTGCACTTCAACATGCTCTCTGTAAAGTACTTTCTGGTTTTAACCAAATGACCAAGGACTAATGTAGAAGTCTGTAGCTTCATTCTGAGAGGAATCATAATCTTGTTTACTTTGTGGCTCTCTCTAGAGCATCATCTGGGCAATGATGTGCAATTAGATTCTGTAATTTGCAGAAAGGTTATTATAATCATCTCTCATAGCATAATGTTCACATTTGTCATTTAGGCTGTGTGGAAAGACCACATTTCCCTATTTCAGTTTTGATTAAGAGAATGTATCTTATCATAGTATTTTATGCTTGTCTGGATATTATTCAGTGCTCTTCTCATTTGTTATCAAACTGCTCCCATGCATCATGGTGTTTTACAATACTCAAAGCACCAACAAGCAAAAGCTGACAAAAAAATCAGCAAAAGAAAGCAGACATGAGCAAAGTGAAACTTCTTGAAACAGCAAATACTTTACCAGAGCTTCACAAGCAGCAGGACAATCCATCAATTAGAAAAAATCTATCAGGGCTATAAAATATAGAGAGGCCACACTGGAAATTCATTGGAATCACAGAATCATAGAATGGTTAGGATTGGAAGGGACCTTAAAGCTCATCCAGTCCCAACCCCCCTGCCATCAGCAGGGACACCTTCCAGTAGACCAGGTTGCTCAAAGCCTCATCCAACCTGGCCTTAAACACTTCCAGGGAGGGGGCATCTAAAACTTCCTTGGGCAACCTGTTCCAGTGTCTGACCACCCTCACAGTAAGACCTTCCTCCTATATCTCATCTAAACCTCCCCTCATTCAGCTTAAACCCATTTCCCCTCGTTTTGTCATTAACTGCCCTTATGAAAAGTCCCTCCCCAGCTTTCTTGTACCCCCTTCAGGTACTGGGAGGCCACTATAAGATCTCCCTGGAGCCTTCTCTTCTCCAGGCGGAACAGCCCCAACTCTTTCAGCCTGTCTTCATAGGAGAGGTGCTCCAGCCCTTGGATCATCCTGGTGGCCCTTCTCTGGACTTGTTCTAACTGGTCCATGTCTTTCTTAAGAATGCAGTTTGTCAGGGGTTGGGAGAGGGTTCTGCAGGAGTGTCACTGCACACTTGTCCTGTATCTTAGGCATCTTCTTTTGGGGTGAGTGGAGAGAGGTTGATGGGTTATATGGACACTTAGTCTGACCTGTAGAATAATTTTTATGCTCTCATACTGGAGAGTGTCTGGTACCTACAGCTGCCTCTTCCGTTGCTTGGGCTGCATTTCATGCATTAAGGCAGTTCAGGTTATGACTTTTGTTTTACCTTGTGACCCTGTACAGCAGAAATTGCCTCTGTCATATGTTAGGATAGCAGTTGTGGAGTTGCAGTCCTCCACTAAATGGTACTTTCCTAAATTGCAGTTCACTGTGATGGATTTTCTCTTAGTGTGTGATCCGGTGTGTTACAATTCAGCAATGAAATTCAACTGTAAACAGTGGGCAAATGAGGATGATTTTGCCCAGTTTAAGAAAAGACCTAAATGGGAGACGGGGGAACAAATACCAGTACAATGATAGAGGTATAAGATACATTACATGGCAGTGAAGGTTGGCTGTAATTTACTGAATGCCCAGTAGTTCTGAGTGGTGGTAACTACAGATCACCTAACATTGATCTGGAAAGCTGAGCTAAGTTTAACCATTTCTTAAGATCAGTCACAGAAACAATCCTTCTCTGGAGACATTCAAAACCCACCTGGACACCTTCCTGTGGAATCTCATTTAGGTGATCCTGCTCTGGCAGGGGGATTGGACTGGATGATCTTTTGAGGTCCCTTCCAATCCCTGACATTCTGTGATTCTGTGTGAAAAGTTCCACATGCCAGGTCCATAGGTAGTGTTGTCTCACCTCGATGGTCATCATGACTCCTGGTTTCCAGTGTGGCAACGCTTGCCCCACCTTTGTGCAGCCTGGTGTGTGGTGTGGGGCTGGCAGGGTTGGGAGAGGAAGGTGGTCAGGGAGAGAACATGCCAGGACTGGGGCTGACCAGCCTTTGTTTTGAGAAGAACAACTGGTGATGTTTATATGTTTATTCGCAGTATCACTGAATTGCTACAGTTTCTATTTTGTGGGTTGTTTGGGTTTTTTCATTTGTTTGTTTGTTTGGTTGGTTTTGTTTTTTTTTTTTTTCTGTGGAAATAGAAAGTTTAGTCAATTTGTCATGGGAGAGCAATTCTAACATCACTGTGGGAGATGGTTCATCCCACATATGATACTCTATATAATTTGGGAATTGCTTGACAAGAAGAGTGGAGCCTATTTGCAGCTACATCGAAGTCCTCAATATTAAAATGAATGGATAGTGCCAGGATTTAATAACAGAATGCATTTATTGTGGTTAAACACAGTGTAAAGTGTAGCTATGTCAAATTACTTTTGAGATTGTTATCACATGAATAACCCTTATTGCTGACATCTTGCAGTATGTTTATTATCTGGTGGATGACAATCCACTGCTGAATTAATGAGGGGAGCAAAAGATGAACACCAATAAAAGTTTTAAATAAGCATCAGCTGTAACAATTTCTCTCACAGCCTTACAGTTCTTTATTTTCTATGACTATTGTATTGAAAATCATGCAGATAAAGATAATGTTAATACCATTCAATGTAATGAGTCATAAACAGAAAAATCTAATGAAATTTGAGGGGTTGTTTTTTCTTTCTCTGCCTGAACAGGAGACCAACTTGCAGCGCCAGCAAATTTCTCTCCTTCTTCCTTGCTTTGAAACCTTGAGATTCTTTGCTAAAAGAAAAGTTGCTTCATTAAAAAAATCACATAACCCTCAAGGACTCCATGCTTTGAAGTGTATTTCCACACACACACACATACACACACCATCCTGCTGCTTTTATCCTTTTTTTATTTTGGCAAAATGGTTTCCCATGTGAACTTCAGAAACAGGAGCGCGTGCAACACTCACCAAGAGAAAATGCTCTTTAAGCCTAACTGCAAGAACAGAAGCGTTGCAAGTAGCAGCGTTTTTGTTTTGTGACCTAAATGTTAAGTTACTTCTTTTTATTTTTCAATATAGGTGCTTCAGAAACTAGGAAAAGCAGATGAAACAAAAGATGAACAGTTTGAAGAATACGTTCAAAATTTCAAGCGGCAAGAGGTCAGTTCCTGTTTCAGTTTCTTTAATTGTGTCTTGTGTATTTGAACCTGCTGATTCTGAAGAACATGTTACAGGGTAACAGGTAAAAAGATTTTTTTTTGGGAGGGGAGGTATAAGATTTTGTTCTGTTTTCAAACAGCAAGTTGGATTCGTGCATGCAGAGAAATGTGCTGATAATAAGATGACATGTTGTAATCATCTATAACACTGTCATGCTAGAACCACTTGGAATCAGGGGAGGGATGGCACATTTTCACCAGCATAATTGAGAACAGAACCCAACCCTCACTAAATATAGATTTGTAGTTGCCTTCTTGCAAAAAAGAGATGTATTTCCTTGGTTTCATTTCGTGGATTGTTTTCATTGGTGGTTTATAACACCACTGGTTTTATACAAAGTGAAGAGATGAATAGTTTCAGGCAGCTGTGCAGGGGCTGATGGAGCACTACTGGGGAACAGGGATCAGTTCCTGTTAGTGTTGTAAACACAAGATGTGAAAACGAAGGTGCTCTGAAGTGTTTATAATCTACTCCCAATGCAATCCTGAATTCTGACCTCAATTAGTCCTTGCTTTTTTTGGAGAGACTTTTTGGCTCCAAAGTGATTAATTATGATTAATTATATAGTAGCTTTCTAGTATAAATTAATGCCTACCGTGAGCTGCATTAACACCACCAGAAAATAGTCTTATTATGTAAGTAGGAACTGAGGTATCTGTCGTCTTTGTGAGCTATCATTCTGAACTCATACAGAAAAGCACTGGAGGGTGAGAGAACTACTCCCACACGTTTTACACGATGCAAAAATTGCCTCATGTCAGCGTTTGCAATTTCTGCCCTGAATCAGTCCTACATAGTCCACATGCACTTCTGTCCTTTCCAACTGAGCATAAATGCTGCATCCTGGGATGCTTATTGACTCTTTTGTATCTTAGAGTCACTTAGCCTTTAGTTCCTCTCTCAGTGTAGAAGGGAGGGAGGTTTTGGGAGCCACTGGGCTGCGTACATCTTCACTCTTCCCCAAAGATGACAATGATGGAAAGGAAAAGAATCTGTTTCTCCGAGGAGGGTGGTTCCTCCCTCAAATTTCTTGAAGTCAGGAAGACAGGGGGATTTAATAAGCCTGAAGAAGCACTCAGAAGCTTTGAAACTCTGCAGAGTTGTTACATTTTCCTTTTTCTTTGCCTTCCTGTTTTCCAGGTATGCTGGGATATCGATAGAGCCTTTCTTTCTCCTTGATTATCCTTATGTTACTGCTTATCTTTGCTGTCAATATCCCAGCTGTTTGCACAGCTAGTAACTGTGTTACTAGAAATAAGGTGCACCTATGAGGTTCTTATCGGGTGCAGAAAGAGCAGCTGGAGCATCCTCATGAAGAAACAGAGTTGTATGCGATATTTTTTTAGCTAAAAATTCTGAGTGAAATTTAAAAAGAGAGATGAAAGAGAAAAAAAAATCTTTTTAAGCAAAATTATATCTCAAGTGTTTGTTTTTTCTGTCCTTTACCAAGAATATTCAGTAATGGTGATTTTCAGCTGAAAATCTTACTAAGGGCTAAGGAGGATCTTAGCATTTCTTCATTTTTATTTCCTCCTTCTTTGATGTACAGAGAAGCAGTAATAAATAGTCAAGGACTTTGCAGGATCTGCATGATGCTAAATCTGGATGCAAATGTGACTTGGGGCCAAGGGAGGAATTGAGTAGGGAGGAGAGAGTGCAGAGGGAACTACTACAGCTCTCTGGAGTAGCGCATGCAGATTAGGCTAGGTCCACTGGCACACAAGATGAGAAACCATTTGCACATCTATTAAACTAATCACATGTGTGTGCTGTGCTCTGCTGGGTTCACTCTCAAAGAGTTCTGTTGAGCTGCAAACAAATGCTGCAAAAACACCGTTTCTGCCATGTTCACCGATAAGAAGCATATAAATTGCTGAAATATTCTTAGTTTTGTTCATGCTTTGATCTCCAACTAACTAGCAATGTAAAGACATGAAGCATTACAATGTGCATCTGAATTATCACTCTTACTGACTAATTATCTTGCAGAACTGCTGTCATCTGGGAACTCAGGCACCTATCTCTTGGTTTAGATTCCAGTCCTGCTTTCCAGATGATCTCTGCAACTCTAGAGCCTTTAGAAAAAGAAAAATTAAATGATAGGTATTGAAGAATAAAAAGGCATTCTAGGTGATTGAACTGAAATGTTGATGTGGGTCATTCAGGTGGCTTGCAAGTAGAACCACTCCTCTGAGAGGCTGTCCCATCTTTCGCAGTTCCCTCCAGGATTATTTGTCTCTGTGGGGGTTGCTGACCTAACCAGGCCTTTCTGTGGCAGAAGCAGTTTGAGAGAAGATCCAGACTTGACTTTGCTTCTTGCAGTCTCACTTAGCAGTGATTTGGCAGTTCCTTGACCATCTCACCTGCTTACATTTGGTTTTGAGGAAGACTGCCACTTCGGTTCTGTATCTCTTCTTAAGTTGTTTGTAGCAGCTGGTGCCATGTGGGCTCTGGGGATCCTGGTAAGCTGAAAGCTGTGAAAATGGTCTGGTTTTCTCGTCACCCTACCTTATTGAGCCTGCAACACATGGGAGGTCAACTGGTCTTAAGTATAGAATGATCTTTTTATTAATAACTCTCCAAAGGTAATAAATGAGGACTCCCAGCTCAGGGAAAGGAAAGAGAAAGCACAGTGCTCATTACCCAGGGAACAGATAATTGAAAAACTGAAATCTTAACATGCTATTCCTTGCCTGAATAGCAGATTGGATGGGTGGGTATGTACCAAACTCAGCAGAAGGCTATGTGTAAGGATGTGTCCTGCAGATCTATCTGTAGGAAAACCTCATTTAGACTCCCCAGTGGTCCCTTCCCATCTCTTTCTGAATGCAGCTCGGTAAGAGCCCCTCGTGGACTTGACAACCCAGAGCTCTGTCACCCACGTGAATCACCATGGAGAAACTGAGTCATCCCATGTCTGGAAAGAACAGAGCACAGTGGCTTTGCAGAGCCTCAGGATTTTCCCTATCAGAAGCAGTAAGCTGCTGCAGCTCAAATCAACAGGAAAAACACTGAGATTTTTAACAGTGAATACAGCTGTTATTCACCTTTCACTTAAGCTGTAAACTGAAACTTGTCACCCTAAATTAAAACTTGTGGAACAAGCAGAACATGTATAAACTCATATATGACCCAGATTTTCAGTGTATTGCAAAGAATTTCTCGAGGCTTAACCATTTCTCTCTGCATAGCTAATTGTGGATGTGCTCAGCCTCTTAATTGACCCTGTTCAGAGAGGGGAAAAAAAAAAAAAAAGAGACAATTCCTGCATATTTCTCTCAACTGTGAGAATATAATCAAGTCCATCAGAGATTTACCTGAAATTTCATCTATTCTGTTTTTCAAACAGCTGCATCTTACCCTTTCTTTTTTTGACAGGAAGTAAAGTAGCAATTCCCTTATCCCCAAGTATATTTTAAAGACTCACAGTGCTTGCTTCACTTTTGTAAGAGATCCATGTTCTATTTCATGTCTGTTCATGTATTTACCTCTCAATATTTTTCCATATTTAGTTAAGAGACGTCTTTTGTTTTACAGGCTGCAGTTAAAATACATGTTAGTGTTTAAAACCATTAACATTATGTATTGTGTATGTACACACAGAGATATAGCAGTTGCTACTACAGACGTTGTCAGAATAAGCAAAATGTCAAGTGTTGTTGTTGCTAATTTATAGAATTGGGTGGAAATGAAGAGCCTTTTCTTGCTGTTGTTGAGTGAGCAGAACCTACTTCTGTGGACAGCTTTAGTTATCATGTGCCTCGCAGTAAGAGCTGCTTCTCAGGTGTATAGTTATGGGTCCTGAAAAGGTTTATCCTGGCCAGATCTTCATTTCACACAAGCATGCTTTGCTGCCTTACAGCTGTGGCATGATATTGTCTTAAAGTTGTTCTGTGAGACGATTAACATTTATTGAAGTGCTCTCTTTGCGACAGATGTACCACTGATTTCTTAAAATTTATTCACCCAAGATGAGATTGACCACCTACACATAGGCACCAGATGTGCCTCAGGGTGTCCCACCTGGCCCTCAGCTGTTGCTCCAGACAGAGGCACATGGCTTTGGCCACAGTCCTGTATCATACCTGCTGGCTCTGTGATCCTCTTGAGCACCTCATGGCATCTCTAGCAGCAACAGATGCATCTGCTTTGGCAGCTGAGCTCTGCCCCTGGAGAGTGATCCTGTTCCAGACTGCAACACCTGAGTGTGGGTGTCTGTGTTTGAGTTGGGTCTTCCCAGATGCTTGTGCTGAACTGTGTGGTCTGAAAGGCCAAGACAGAAAACCATCAGTCCCATCATCTGTGGGCCTTAATGGCTCTGATGAGCCCCATCTGGGACCCCTAACCCTGAACATGGGCCCAAGAGTCCCATTTTAGCTGAGCCCTGGGCATGTAGTCCTTCCCTAAGCCATGTCATAGGCTGGTTCCCATGCCTAGGGGACCTGTGCTTCAGCGGCATCTCTGCTGCTCCCATCTGGATCTCCCAGACAGACCCTGGACCTGGTTCAAACCCTCACTAGGCTGAGGGATGTTAGTGAAGCCTCTTACCAGTCCCTGGCTCTACCCATTTGGCCCAGACCCTACAGGATGGCACCCATCAGTGAGAGCATGGCCTGTGCTGGGGTCCCTCATGGCTCCTGGCACAGTCCCACCAACTGAGTTGAGCGGCTGCCGTGAGGCTTGTGAGTCAGTTGTCTTAATATTGGCATCCATTGCTACTTGTGAGGCCCTGGTGTGTCCCCCCGACTTCTAAATGCTGTTCAACAAAGCTGGCAGGTCCCTTAGGACCAGTTGTGTTTGCTGTTTGTGGATGTATCACAGATGGCACTAGCCAGTTATGCTGAGTGAATGGTTTTGACCAGGATTTTCTTAATTGCTCTCCTGACTCCACAGGTTGCACTGAAGAGGTCTGCATTGGCTCTAAGATGAGGAGTCATGTA